GGAACGTCCAGCTCTTTACATTTTTTTAATCAAAGGAGTAAGTAACCTAAATACAAACTTTCTTTGGCAAAGACATTGACACTGACAGTGTAGACATACAAGATAATAGTTAAATAAGGCTTAATACCAGGTGTTTTTTGAACTTTTGAATATTAGAATATTATGAACTAGCTAAAGTAACTTTCTTTTGAGGTTTTAAAGCTGATGATGAAATTTGAAGCTCTTCCGAAACATCCGTAATTAAATATGTTTTGTGGTATCATATTTCTAACATTTATTTAAAATTTGGTTTTCCATCTGATTAATCAGTTGCGTATGTGTAATACTAACACTAATAGATGAATATGCACGTATAGGCCTAAAAGTAAAACTAGGTTATAAAGTAAATTAGAGTGTGCAATCATAATATTAACTTTATTGTGAAAAGAACAGTAAGATTTAGTATGGTTGTTGTTAAGCGCAAAGCTACACAATGAGCTATCTGTGTTCTGACCACTACGAGCATCGAACTTCAATTTTTAGCGAAGTAAGCCTGCAGACTTACTGCTGAACCACTGTGTGACGGAACCTTAAGGCAGACACGTTTGATTATACGTAAAATAATACAAAGTTAAAGTAAGATACTGATATATTAGTAGGAATTTAAGATACCAGAAATACAGCATGATGATTATTTGCCTTTGTATTAATTCGAGCTCTATTTACTTGAAAGCACGTCTGTAGATTCTATAGATCGAGGTAGGCTTACGATTAAAGGTTTTTCTTTAATAAGAAGTTCAGGTCTGGTAGACTTACGATTAAAAGGTTTACTTTAAATTTTAATGTGTGTAGATGAAGATTTGATTATGATAAAATTGTTACGCGACATTTTATGGCTTGTGATCGAATTACACACTGATAGGAGTAATTTGCAAAAGCCGATTCTATTGGATACCACTCTGAGTATTCCTAGACTTGTTTGCTAATATACGTGACCTGACTACACGTGTATATGTATACGAGCCATGTATGAGGGATTGTTGGTAATCAGACCTTACACTGAAAGACGTTTCTATATCAGAAACTAGGTCTTGTTTATAGAATATCCGTGCAAAGTTACACAAAGGGATATTTACGCATGACTATCTTTAATTTTGAATTAAAAGTTTGGCTGGGGGTTAACAATTCTTGGGCTTCTCTTTTCTGACCTAATAGTGAGCTTTGATGGTCATTCTTATAGCGCACACATGGCCCCAAAGTGTGGAACACGTTGCTACAGCAACGGGACGTGAATAAAAAAACCCACCTTAAGATTCGGGCATGCTAATCACGAGGTTACGCCCAGCTGAACTAGGTCTATAGATGAATTTGAGTTGAATCTGAGGGTAGAAATTGTTTTATCAATCTAGAGTTGTTGTTATAATCTGTAAATTTTGAGAACCCACAGAAGGAGACTATACAAGGGTTTATTATGGTGTTGGAATTTGTCGTTTAGGGACTTACGTACGATATTAGTTAAAAAGTAGATTGAGTGGCAGTTTTAAAAGTTTGTGCTTGTTTGTTTTACTGAAGTTTTGTGGAAAGTTTATGTAACAGCATTTCATTGGAAATCTTGCTTCAGAGGTGTTCTAGAACAATAAGTACTTGTGAAGAATTTATCTGATACTGAGAGGTCCATAACTATATACAAAATTCCACGCTGCCATTCCAATAGAAAAATGAGGTTTCAAAAGTGTGTGTGTGTGTGAGTTTCTATATCTGGGGTTAGCCTGAGTGTATTTTTTTAAACAAAAGATAATCTATCCTAGAAGAAAGTGCGGGAGACATGTCACCCTCGTCCCTTGTGAATATTACGCCATATTCTCAAGATACACCTGACCTGCAAGTGGAAAATATGCCACTTTATGAAACTAAAGATACACGGAGCATGCCTTGCGTACCAGTAGCTCCCACCGCCCAATCTTGGGTTATTTATTTGACAGTTCTCTTATAGCGCACCCTTGGAGCTCGTTAATCATTGGCTTCACAGTCGCATGGCCAGGTGGTTAGGGCGCTTCATTCGCAATTTGAGGGTCGCGGGTTCGAATACCCGTCACACCAAACATCCTCGCCCTTTCAGCCGTGGGGGCGTTATAATGTGACGGTCAATCCCACTATTCGTTGGTAAAAGAGTAGCCCAAGAGTAGACGGTGGGTGGTATTGACCAGCTGCCTTCCTTCTAGTCTTTTGCGGAATTCAAAAACAAATCGTTCTCTTTTAGTTGGCGGTGAGTGGTGATGACTAGCTGCCTTCCCTCTAGTCTTACACTGCTAAATTAGGGATGGCTAGCGCAGATAGCCCTCGTGTAGCTTTGCGCGAAATTAAAAAAAACAAACAAACAAGCTTCACAGTCCAAGGATACTGAATAGGAGCCCCCCCCCCCCCCAGTGGCACAGCGGTATGTCTGCGGTCTTACAACGCTAGAAACCAGGTTTGTTTCGATACTCATGGTGGGCAGAGCACAAATAGCCCTTTGTGTAGCTTTGTGCTTAACTACAAAGAAGTTGAACAGGAAGCCGGGTCCCGTCAGATGTTTGGCATGGCCTGGTGATTACAGCGCTCGACTCGCAATCATTGGGTCGCGGGTTCGTATCCTGTCACCGAACATGCTCGTCCTTTCAGCCGTGGGGGCGTTATAATGTGACCGTCAATTTCACTATTCGTTGGTAAAAGAGTAGCCCAAGAGTAGACGGTGGGTGGTATTGACCAGCTGCCTTCCTTCTAGTCTTTTGCGGAATTCAAAAACAAATCGTTCTCTTTTAGTTCAGAAAGATGAACATTTCTTGTTAACCAAAGTTTTCGCACTTAATATGCGCTGGCGTCTGTGCTAACGTATTTCTTTTAACAGCCATTACGTTATCCCTTGTACCGGTCATACTGTCTGAAGAGTCTTGATCTAACGGGTTTGTTTCATTTTGACCTCTTTATTTATATGAAGGTGAATAGTTGTCTTCTCTAGCAGTGACGTGCACAGGGAGGGGAGACTAGGTGGGCTCAAGCCCTTGCCTTCCTGCCCCCTTTTCTCTGTCTACGAAGAGATACACCTGATTCCACACCTTGTTTGCTGCTAGAAGCAAGGAAAAAGAATTAGCGTTAAAATGAATGGCACAAAAGAATTTGCATGGGCGTCTGTAGGGGGAGGGGAGGGGGAGGCAAGAGGTGGCACTTGCGCCCCCCTGGAAAATAAGAAACATAACTCTTTCTTTATTCATGCAACATATATATATGATTTTTTTTATTAAAATCACAATTTCACACTACTTTCCCCCCCTGGAAAATTTTGCTCCTCTCTGGAATAATTTCTGCGGACGCCCATAAGGACTTGTAGGTCTTTATAGTAAAAAAAAAAATAAAAAATGATTTGCTATTAAGTGTTAATACGCAAACATTCATTATTTAGTTTTCGGTTATAAAATTATGGATTTTTATCCTCAGAGGCAACCCAGAGTTTTCATAATTTCCTTTACCCCCCCCCCCCCAAAGAAAAGGCACCTTACGATGCTGGAAAAGTGCCCTTTTTTGTTAGTGAGCCCCCTGCCTTTTCAATGTCCTCTGCAAATTACTGTTCTTTAGCATTCTTAATGAAAATAACCAAAGTAAGTTGATGACAGACGTACTCTGGGAGAGTTGACCCTGTCCGAATAAATATATAGTTATGGATTTTTCTCATTCTGGGGAGATCTTTATCGGCACCCGGGGGAGCATGATGTGCGATTTTCCTTTATTTTTCTAAAAGAGTATATTGACCGAAATCGTACCGTTTTCATATCATGCTTCTTGATAAATAGTTATGGCTATCGTCAGACTTCGTTGTCCAGTCTCTTCATTTAATTCTGTGGGGGTCAAAATTCAGAAACCAATGTACCAGAAAGAACCACGCAGGCTCTTTGCTGCGTTATTGTGGTGCAGTAAGTAAAAGATTTGTCCTTCAAACCTGCGTTTACGGCCTTGCCAACTGATTACCCTATTACACTGTTGCGAACTTTTCCGATCTAGTTCGTATAACTGGCTTCACTAATAAGTTTAGTTTTCATTCATTTGTCTATTTGCGATAGGGAAAGGTTCTTAAGTAGTTATCCTAAGTAAAAAAGCTGCAATTTTACTTAAAAACATGAGCGTAATGATCTTATTCTGTGGTCGTAGACCGTGATATAATACGTTAAAAAGCCACCCACGCCTTCTCTAAGTGCTTCCAGCACGTGAGCTTGACGGCGTAGGTTATTTCCCGCTCTTTCGTAAAAGGCCAGTACCTTACCGAAGCTCTAGTGGGACGTTTTTGCTTCTCACCGATTGGTTGTCAACAGAACAGGCAGACCCCGCCTCCTGGTTTGTGCGATTCTGTAAATTAAATCTGTTCTGGAAAAAAATATTATACATTAAAAGAACTTGAACGTATTTGATTGTGTTTTCGTTACATCAAATTAAAGATAACGTGTTTTCTTGAAACTCGGAAGCAGATTTTGAGAGTGGAAGTTATTTAGTCGCATATTGGTTGTGAATCCGTATGGACTACCAACTTGTAATAACATGGGCAAAGTGCAAAGTAAGCACGGTAAGTAACTAATAATATTGTAAAATATTAATCCACAGTACAAGAAAGCTTGTCTTTCAGCACAAAAGTGTTTTTTTTTAAACGCGTGCAAAAAATACTGTTGAACTAACGGTATTCCGATAGGAATGTTATTGTACCATATTAAATAAATAATTAACATTTCTATTAGGACCATCGTCTTTATTTATTTATTTAATTTGGTGGAGAAGAACAGGGTTTTGAATTATTTTGAATTGAAGAAAAAAATATTTTGAAAAAGTTTTATAAACCTTTAAAGTTTCATAGAACTAAAATAAAGCTCCCTGGGGTTTATCTAAAAATTATGAATAAGTGTAGGAGAATGTGGAGTATAACTATAAGGGAGGTGGGAGTCTTTCAAATGTAAATTTAGGACGGTTAGAGGGATTATTCCTACAACGTTACTAGTTTAATGTTCACCATTAGAATTGTGTTTGACTGTATTCAATAAATAGTAGTGAAATTGATTTTTAACAAAGGTTCTTCTTTCCTTACAAACTAGTTTTTGTTTTGTATTAGGTACCATTTGTATGGTTAAAGGCTCCTCCTTTTGATGTTGTATATCTTGACTTCCATAAAACTTGAAAAATTATCTTACACAAGACATTTAGTTGTATCTTTATGTCATTGGTTGAGATCTCTAGAAGTTCATAAGAAACTGACACAACGTTGTCAGACAAAAATGTAACTGAATGGTCAGTTTTAGGACTATTGTTGTATTACTTGTATAATGATTTACATATCTTTTGTTGATGTATTTCCAAATTCTTGCATAGACAGTACTGGAATAGTAAGTTCAACCAATTTTTAAGTAAAGGTATGTAATAGTGAATGTTTCTGTAGGTATGAGATTGGTGAGTGGAGGAATGATTAGGTAGGGATTGATGGTCTTGTGGCATATTGCAGATTAATATGTTTACTGTATATGCTTTTGGTTGTAAAGGCTTGTACATTTCTTTGTTTACTGTATGTACTTGTGGTTGTAAAGGCATGTACATTTCTTTGTTTACTGTATATGCTTTTGGTTGTAAAGGCTTGTACATTTCTTTGTTTACTGTATATACTTGTGGTTGTAAAGGCTTGTACGTTTCTTTGTTTACTGTATGTACTTATGGTTGTAAAGGCTTGTACGTTTCTTTGTTTACTGTATGTACTTATGGTTGTAAAGGCATGTACATTTCTTTGTTTACTGTATATACTTGTGGTTGTAAAGGCATGTACATTTCTTTGTTTACGGTATATACTTGTGGTTGTAAAGGCATGTACATTTCTTTGTTTACGATATATACTTGTGGTTGTAAAGGCATGTACATTTCTTTGTTTACTGTATATACATGTGGTTGTAAAGGCATGTACATTTCTTTGTTTACAGTATATACTTGTGGTTGTAAAGGCTTGTACATTTCTTTGTTTATGGTATATACTTGTGGTTGTAAAGGCTTGTACATTTCTTTGTTTATGGTATATACTTGTGGTTGTAAAGGCATGTACATTTCTTTGTTTACTGTATATACTTGTGGTTGTAAAGGCATGTACATTTCTTTGTTTACTGTATATACTTGTGGTTGTAAAGGCGAAGCCTTTACAACCACAAGTATATACAGTAAACAAAGAAATGTACAAGTATATACCGTAAACAAAACAATTTACAAGCCTTTACAACCAAAAGTATATACAGTAAACAAAGAAATGTACAAGTATATACCGTAAACAAAACAATTTACAAGCTTTTACAACCAAAAGTATATACAGTAAACAAAGAAATGTACATGCCTTTACAACCACAAGTATACAGTAAACAAAGAAATGTACAATACATTTCTTTGTTTACTGTATATACTTGTGGTTGTAAAGGCTTGTACATTTCTTTGTTTACTGTATATACTTGTGGTTGTAAAGGCTTGTACGTTTCTTTGTTTACTGTATATACTTGTAGTTGTAAAGGTTTCTACATTTTTTTGCTAAAGATAAAAATTTTTTGCATTTTTCTTTTTCTAGCTGTTGTACAATTTTCTCCATACAAAATATTTTAAAACTAATAAGCCTACTTTTGAAGCATTTTACATTCTAAATCTTTATATACTTCAATAACTTATCTTTCTTTGGGATTTTAGGAGAATGTTTTTTGGTCAATGCACCATTGAATCCGTTGTGTCAACCAGATCTCGATGAAGATGTCAGCAGTTTGAAAACAGTTAATTATGTTAGTCGACATAAAAACTCCTCTTTGGTAAGCTAAAAATTTTATATCTTGTTACAAACCTTAAGTTGATTAATATTCTCCCCTTTCATAAGGATTAGTCTTTCTTTAAAAAAAAGTTTTTGAAATGCTTAAAGATGACAAAATTTGTTGGTTAAATTTCCTAAGAACTCTAGATTTATAACTTCTTCCTGGGGATATATTGAAATAGAAACTAAACGCTTCTCATTTTCAGTTAAAGACCTTGAGAGACAGAGAGAGTCTGTGCTGAAGTTAGGGATAAATCTTAATCATTATTTATGATAACAATTACCAATATAAGGAAAATAGATTAGTCATCTTGGATTGACTCATCTTTAAAGTCGTAACTTATACAGGTCAGATAAGGCTGTAGCCATTAAGATTAACAAAAAAATAATTTTAAACATTTTCTGCTGATTCAAAACTTTCTCGATTTTAATAAAGAGTTAACCATAAATTTTCATTTGTTCATGAATTTGGAAAACATTAATGACCTGAATTTGAGGAGTTCAAAGATACAAGGTCATTGCCATCATTAAAATGAAGGGAAATCGTAAATTTGTAGAATTGCCGTGGTTATGTGAACATTTTTATAAGTTGTTGCTATATACAAGTTTAAATCGCTATGCACTGGAAGAGAGAACTGTAGAAAACTAAGGACTTGGTTAAATAGAAATTATGAAATCCGAAAGAGCTTGTGAGAAACAGCTGGCTGATAATATATATATACACACATACATTTTTGTAAGGTACTGATGATATGGTTTTTGTTGATTGGATTATGAAATGGCTGAGTTTTTACAAGAGAAAGATGCTAACGATACTCCTGACCTTGAGTATTATATGGGATATGTTGGAATTGATTAGAATCATCTAGATATTAATCCCATGATTGTAATTAGAAAAGTTTGTTAGATTGAAAATAGATAAAACACAAGGGCTAGACATAGTTTTACTTAGAACTTAAGATTAGGTATGGGAGCCTCTCTTTCATTTTGGGTGGGTCAATAGACTAAAGGAAGGTGCCTGAGGACTGGAGAGTTGGTATTGTTACTCCTATTTTAAAGAGAGGTGATAAGAAGTATCCTGGAAACTCTTCTTCTATAGTTGGAAAATGTCCTACAGTCTGGTAAAAGAAGCTAGTAAAATATTATATCTATTCGAACATTGATTTGTCAGAGAGAAACCTTGTCGTATTGTCTTACTAATGTGTTGTTTTTTTAATTAGTAAAGTTTTCTGATGACATTAAACTTATGAACATTTCTGACTTTACTGACATATTACCAAAATGCTTTAGTGCAAGGTAATGCATTTTGGGTATCATAATTTGTAGCACATGCTTAATATAGATTAGAACCCACTCAATTATATGACTGGAGACCATTATATAACCATTAAGATAGAGTTCATTGAGAAAAAAATTGAGTGGTTTAAAAAATGATACTGCTCCTGAGCCAGGTAATATTTCCTCAGGAGTTTTGAAGGAGGTTAAGGATTGGATATGTGAGCCACTTGCTACTATTTATTGTAGTTTAATAAAACTGAGTAGTTTAAAAAATGATACTGCTCCTGGGCCAAGTAATATTTCCTCAGGGGTTTTGAAGGAGGTTAAGGATTGGATATGTGAGCCACTTGCTACTATTTATTGTAAGTCCTTGAATAGGTGGCGAGTGCTAGAGAATTGGAAGTTAGCTAACATTACACCTATTTTCAAGGAAGGTGATAAAATTGTTCTGATAGTTATAGCCTATTAGTCTCTTACATTTGTTAAGGTGCCATATAAGTGGCTTGTTATAGCCTATTAGTCTCTTACATTTGTTAAGGAGCCACATAAATGACTTGTTATAGCCTATTAGTCTCTTACATTTGTTAAGGAGACACATAACTGGCTTGTTATAGCCTATTAGTCTCTTACATTTGTTAAGGTGCCACATAAATAACTTGTTATAGCCTATTAGTCTCTTACATTTGTTAAGGAGCCACATAAATGACTTGTTATAGCCTATTAGTCTCTTACATTTGTTAAGGAGCCACATAAATGA